AGTTGTATGCCAGGAGTACCCTGATGGGATACCCATGGATTATTCTTCCATTACCTCTCTCAACTGCTCTTCTTGCCTCAGCCATATTCTTGAGTTTAACAAAAGCAAAGGTTGTCTTATTCGATTTCCTTTTCTCGTTTTGATAAGCAACATAAGCATCTAGAACTCTCCCGTATACCTGAAAAGCTTCCCTCAGTTCTTTTTGATGAACTCCTTTACTTACGTTGTCTACAAAAACAGCAACTCCCAGCCGACGAATGACTCTCTTTCCTCCTTAGCGAAGCTCCGGTTGGGCTAAAGCTAATCTAAACTCGAAAGACCCAATTTTTTTTATCGGTTTTTCGGATTCAAAAATTAGAATTTAGTTGATTCGTATCTACTTCAATTACCTAATTTTTCCTCAGATATCCAATCTAAATTATGCGTAAATAAAAAATAGATCAAATATATTTTAGATTGATCAACGTATTAAAACAATCATGTCAAATATTTTAAACACCCCTACACTTAATTTACATCTCAATTCTCCACCAAGTTGGCTTCTATTTTAAATGTGTATTAATATTTTAAATATAATTTTAATATTGGGTTTAATAATAATATATATAATTTTGATTTTTATTCACATTATATTTTTTATTTAATCTCTTTAATTTAATTGACAAAGATCAAATTATAATTTTAATACCTAAACTTAACATTATATGCTAATTCAATAATACATTTAAGGTGCGTTTGGTTCACGGAATGTAAGATTACTAGTGGGAATAAAAATTACCAGGGAATAAGATTACTGGGAATGTTGTATTTTTTGTTTGGTTGGTTTAACAGGAATGTAAGATTACCGTGTTTGGTTAAAAGAATAAAAGATTATTGAAATGTATATTTTAACAAATTGTCCTTATTATATATTTGTTTTTTTAACAAGTTGGAAAATATTTATATATTTTATTTAAAAAATTTAAATTTATAAATTTTATAATTTTTTTTACAAAATTGAAAATATAAAAAGATTTAATGAAATTGTAAATTTTTATTTTAACCCCTGAACTTTATATAAAATTTTAATTATAGACTTTTTTTGTAAATATAAAATAATTTAATGATAAATTTGTAATTTAACCTTCGTAGAATTTTTATTATTCAATGACAGAATAAAAATATTTTTGAAATACATTTTTTTAAGGGAATTTTAATCCAAAACGTTGATAATCCAACAATACCTAAGGAAAGTGAGGTAATGATATTCCCGGTAATATATCCAAAAAATCTACTATTGGTAATGTAAGATTACTGGGAATGACATTCCCGGCTAACCAAACGAATGAATGTGGATTCCATTCCCATGGGAATCTCACATTCCCTCAACCAAACACACCCTAAAGTTTAATACATAAATTGATACCTTCACTTTATAACTTTTTTCAACTTAGGACCTAAATTCAGATTTTTTTAGTAACTGAATTTCAAAGCCTTCTGGGAGTCTTCTTGACTTTGCTAAGTTCTTCAAACGATTAAAATTTCTACTTCATATCAACTTCTTGTTTTGTACAAAACCCTGGGACAAGACTCGAACATATTCCAACTAATCAAACTGATCTCATTACAAAATTCTTCGACTCTAATTATTTCTGTTTTGATCATTCGATGGAATGACCTGTTTTCAGCTCTATAATTCACCATCATCAACTTTCAAAGTCAACCCAAGCTTTTTTTCAAGGAGACCAACCATGGAAATTGAAACAGGAGGGAATGCCCCCCCACCACTATGTTTTTCTGCTTTTTAGACGAGGATGTGATTGAATTTGATGCAACCACACACAATAAAAAAAGTGGTCAAAATCTTCTTAGAAGTGTAAGACCATGATGATAAAAGGTTACATTACATGGGTTGTTGTGTTGGAATTCTGACATTTCCAATGCGTAAGTCACTGGCAACAGACACAACTTAGTGGACAACATCACTTTCTGTACTCAAAGAAAGAAAGAAAAAGGGTCTGATACAACCAGACCCATCTGGCAATTTGGCCAAGGCACCAGTCCAGCCGAATATCTGGACCCAGATCCCCATCAGATTGTACATACATACATACATATGTACGTACGTACATACATACATAGGGACTGAACTTTAGGCTTAGTTTGTGATGCAAGCTGCCAGGCCTGTGATATAAGAAAACTTGCTAAAAACCAAGCCAGAATCTGCAAATTAGTCTTATTTCTGTCCTCCAAACTGTTGGTTCAAGTACACTGATAAATATTCTGTACGAAATTCTTTAACTTCAAAACTTGTCTTTGTTTTATCAGATGAAGAAGGTGACAGCTTTCATACTACTTTCATAAAAAAAAAACTTACAGTTTACAGTGCTACCAGGGTATTTGATATATGATAATAAACCAGTAAATACTATTTGGCTAAATATTCTTTAGAGTACCCTGAGCTCTTTTTATCTTCCCATGTTCCTTGTTTCAACGGGATGTGACTGTGAGTGCCCCCATCCCATGCATCATTTAGATCCAAAGTTCACACTGGCACTGTAGGTTTTTTTTGCTAGCCATGATTGTTTTGGAATCACTTTTAAGTTCAAATGCAAAGATAGATAATTTTATAATCATTAAACTGAACAGCCTAGATGTATTTGGAACTTGAAATTGAGTTAATGATGATGAATTGCTAGCAATGTTTGCTTTTAAGAACTCTCTTGGAAACAATAAAGTTAGCCCCTCCCTAAAGCACGAATTTAAATTGCAATCTAGATCATGTTTTCAGTTGCGTTGCATTAATTTTTATTGCAGTCATTATAAATATCACAATCGTATACTAATAATTTCAAATGATACTGTTATCAATATATAACGATTGCGCTAATGAACCACTATTTAAATCCAACTCTAAACCATCTGGAAGAAAGCTTTACTTGATTGCTTCCCCTAGGAGTGTGTACCCGACATCACTTTTTCTTTTGATCTAATCTCTTTCACCCCACAAACGCCAAGCTTTTCTCCTACCTTTTTCCCCCAAAACACACACGCATAAAAGCTTCAATAAAATAAAGCATTCACATGCAAAACCTCTCAAAGGAACCATGTCTGATTTGCTATAAGGGTGGTCCAAGAACACAGACTAGTTTGCGTCTAGGGTGTGCCAAATGACAGCCTTTTTTAAGAAAGTGAAAAACCCAAACTTGAAAACATGGAGATCTGTGGGGTTTGATTGGAAAATGTAAAGAAAAGCTGTAGGGGAGAGTTGAAAATTTGGGAGAGATGATTGTGAGGGAATGGGACATGCATGATGGTTGGCAATGGTGGCAAAAATCTTCCTCCATGTGCCTTTGACATCAAAATTATTCTGCAACATCAGATCAGATGGCGCATGTTTCAACAGTTTCTTCCCTTCTTCCCCTTCATTATTAAATTTGCTTTAATTACTTTTAAACATGTTCTTAAATCACTAAACCCTAAAAAGTTAATTCTCCAATCCAGATTCACTTAAGAAGCAAAACCCTTTATCTGCAATATTGCTGGCATAGTTTTCCTGTTCGAAACATATTTTGTTAGGTGGAGGATCTAAAAATATTTTTGATATATATATATATATTAATATTATGAATCTATTTTATTACGGATGGACACGAATAAAATTTTAAATTTTATAGTGAACACAATCCGTAAAATAGGTATCCACCCACTCATTAGTGGATCCGCTACTGTTCACATTAAATTGATAATACGAGATGATAGGGCTGGTGATAGTTGTTAGTTGAGTGAGTATGAATAATGAAATGATGGAAGGATCACCAAATCTCAACTCCTTCCATTTTTTCATGGGAAGGAACCCAACATTACTGATCCCTAACAAAATTATGGAAACCACAAATCTATAATCAATGCCACTGCTCAGCACAAGTCATTAACATATAGGTGCTGACATTTGAAACATACACGTACTGAATTTGATCTTTTTAAAGGTAAAAAAATACTCGAACCGACAAAATTAAGTTCCGAGTACTCTTCCTATCCCAGTTTTGATCATTGATGTACATTGATTTTGCATTTAAGCATTGTGGAGCCATCTATTTTTGATTTTTTGATTTTCCTGGCTAAGCAACAAGGAAAAGAAAAAGGCTATATGGATAGCATTGATGGGGCAAATATTAGATGAAAGCAAAAGTTTCTTCACCTTTTAGCAAAAATAAGTAATAACTGCCTAGAGTTAGCTGGATCAGTGTACAAAGAAGATACGCTTAATCTCTTCATATCTTCGAGTTTCTTATTTTCATTATTAACATGTCGACTGAGTTTTAATTCGATTGACACGATTGTTATTACAACATTATTGAGGATCGTTCCGACACCTTACTTGCGTTTTAAACAAAGCATGTCATGTAAGTTTCCTTAATAATATCATGAGATGGGGTTTGATTATCATATCAAAAACGATCCTTTGGTCCCCATTATATAGCAACCCACCCACGTGCACAGAGATACATCAAAGTTCGTATATGAGCCATCATAAAAGAAAATGTACCATATGTCCTCAAAGTATGATCCTCATTTTAAATTGGTCCATAAACTTTTAAATATTTTGATTGCATCCTAAACTATGGCTACCAGTCTAAATTAGTTCTCAAACTTTTGAATATTCCAATTTCATCCCCCAAACTATGACCATTCTAAATTAGTCTCCAAATTTTTTGAACATTCCAATTTCATCTCAAACTATACGTATATACCAATCACATTCTTTGTTGGTAAAATCATTTGGTCAAATTATATTATTATATGTTTGGGAAAAAAACAAAATTTAGGTTAAACTATAGTTGAAACTAATTACATATTTGAATGAATTTGGATATGAAATTAGAATGTTCAAAAGTTTAAGGACTGATTTAGAATAAGAGTCATAGTTTGGGGATGAAATTAGAATACTCAAAAGTTTAAGGACTAAATTAAAATGAGAACTATAATTTGGAGGCATATGATGCAATTAACTCAAAATAATAGTGAATTCCAGGAAAACAAAAGACCATGATTTGTGTGATGATTTATGTTTCCATTATTCTTTGTTTTAAGATCAAAATGTCAACCCGTTTTTCCCCTTACTAGCTAGCTTCTTCTTCTCCTTTCTTTTGTTGTTTTTTAGCACCTCATCGACCACCTCTTCTCAAATATTATTCCTTGTTTACTTCTTAATGTACGCAGAATTCAGCCAGGTTTCTCTTCTTAGCATATCGAATTCAGAGCTGATCCTTGTTAAAGACGAAACAAAAATGATCGAGTTCGATATCCTGAAACGACCCCCATTGGGGTTTCAAGGGGAGTGCTCTTGTGAAGCTACAGGTATTTATAATTCTTCGAATGATCGTGATCGAGAACGACGAGTACCGGAAGAAGATTATGAAGAGAAAAAAGGAGAAGAAAGCAACGTCAAAGAAGCAGCTTCCATGGAAAACAAAAATATATGTTTAGGAGAATTCAAGGCAATGATTGATGATGATGATGGATTCAAGACTCCCACGTCTTTGGATCACAGAATCCCAGAGATGAAACAATGCCCACCTGCACCAAGAAAACCAAAGGCGAATAAAAGAGGAGCATCGGAAAGTATTAGTACTGCTGCAACTTCAAGCACAAGCAGGAATCTGCAACTCGATCTTTCCCAAGTGGTGGATTCCTGGTTTCCTTCCTCACTTGTTGATGATTTACACCGCAAGGTCAAGAAAGCTCGAACACAAGAGAATTGAAGTTAATTAGTTTAGCAGTAATAAAATATTAGGTAAAGATTTTTTTTTCATGTAAAATAAGAAATCATATGATATAATATATTCATATGAAAATCAGGCATGCATGATGCATGCTATGATGCTATCGCTTGAAATTAAATTACGAATATATCAGCTTTTTATCTGTTTATATTGAATTTTTTAAGGATAATTTGCATTGCTCTCGAGTTCAAATTCTGACAATTATTGTTTATTTCCACTTTAAACCGATCAGGCTATACATTTATAACTCCAACTATTCTTCAACTTGAGTATTTCTTCTACCTACAAGTACATGAAAATAATACTTATAATCAATCATCCAGAAACAATGGTGTTTTTTATCCGGGTTTATGAAGTTGCTTGTCAGTGGCATGTTTGAGATGGGCGTATGAGTCAGATGAGTGGTTCAGGGAGTTGGAAGATGAAGAGTAGGAGCAAGGATGAAGATGACAAGAATGTTGTACTTGTAGATCAAGATGCCAGACTAGAAGGTGGTCCAGGTATAATAGAAAGTGATAACCTAATTAATAATGATGGTGGAGATTATGGGCTTCGAGAACTTGGATTCACAAGGAATGGATATTGAACCAGCTGTGATTGAGAAGGCCCATGTTAATTGCCCATGGAATTTCGAAAGGAGTATTGGTTAATCAGAGATGCGTGTATTATTTTATATTAGAAGATGAAATTATAAAATTTTAAGAAGTGACAAATTTATAAAATTTTAAGAGAGACAAAAATAAATTATCAACTGAAAATACAAAAAAAATATTCAAAATATATGATAATTTAAAATTTTCAAAAAGATAAATACTCCAATTATCCTCTCAATCCTTCCCTATCGTTCATCCAACATTACATATTACAAAGCTCATCAAACCCCTAAGCTTAACGTCTTTCCGCAACCCTCAATGGTATGAACTACCATAACAAAGATCTCTAACTTCTTTCTATAATTGATGTTATAACAATCTACAAATGTTGATGGTGAAGCATTGATAGATAGAACCATTAGTGTTAATTTGCGAAGAAACTTGATTTGTATCGATGGAGATGAATAAGAAGTGATGCTTGAACTTGCTAAATTAAAACGGATATAGAAGCTTGTTGTGATGTCTCGATGATGGGTGTTTGTAGTGACGGACTCTACAATGAATTTTGATGTGATCTTGATCTTGAATCATGTCATTGAAGGGGGTGATATGCAGTTTTGAAAGAGATTGGTTGTTGTTTTTCGATTTTAAATTTATTGTATTGCTTTAGGTAGTGTCAAGTGTGATTATATCATATGTTTCATCTTCGCTTTGTTTTAGTTTTCTTGGAGTATAATTTGATGTTTGTTATTATCTTTTTACTTCTTTAAAGCAACAGTCGACACATTTTTGACCTTCGATCAGTATTGCTTTCGTTAATAAAACTTATTTTGCTATGTGAAGAAAATAAGTGAAACTATGAAACAATTACATCTTTAATTGATGTTTAAAAATTTTAAAACAGTAAAATTATTGAAATGCCTCACTATTATTAATTTACTTCATATACATCATTTATATAGTTTTACAACTGAGCTAGTTACAAAATAACTGCCTAACTAATTCTCTAACTAACCCCTAACTACACAAACAATATCTTTATTCTTAACACTCCCCCTCAAGTTGGGAAGTGAAATACAACTTTAACTCCCAACTTGGATAGAAGATACTTATGTTGTTCAACGCCAAGAGCTTTTGTTAAAATATCAACTTGTTGCTCTGCAGTTGGTAAAAATTCTGTTTGAACCAAGCCCTGCTGAATTTTCTCTCTTATGAAATGGCAGTCTATCTCGATATGCTTTGTTCTCTCATGAAATATTGGATTTGCTACAATTTGCAAGGTTGCTTTGCTATCACTAAAAATCTTTGCAGGTTGATTGTTGTTGACTTTAAGCTCCTTTAACAACCCTTGCAACCAAACTAGTTCTGACATTGTCACTGCCATACTTCTATATTCAGCTTCTGCTGAAGATCTCGCTATGTTACTTTACTTTTTTGATTTCCATGAAACTAGTAAATCTCCTAGCTTTACACTAAAACCTATCACTGATTTTCTTGTCATTGGACATGTTGCCCAATACGAATCACAGCTAGCCACAAGCTGACAACTACTTGAAGCTTTCAAGATAATTCCTAAACCAGGATTATTTTTTATGTACCTTACTACTCTAAGAGATGCCTCCATGTGCTCTTTATTTGGTTGATGCATAAACTGACTAAGATGTTGAACTGAAAAGGCTATATCATGCCTTGTATGTGTCAAGTAAAACAGCCTACCAATTAATCTCTGGAATTCTGCTTTGTCAGCTAAACAATCTTCACCTTTGTTTTTTTTCTGTAGGAAATTATCATACTCCACTGTAGTAAGCTTAGTGTTATGTTCCAAGGGTGTTGCAGCAGGTTTCGCACCCCCTATTCCTATATCTTGAATGAGCTCAAGAGTATACTTCCTCTGATTTAACAATATCCCTTCTTTTGTTCTTAAAACTTCCAAGCCAAGAAAATATTTCAATTCACCCAAGTCTTTCATCTTGAAGTTCTTATGCAGTACCCCTTTTAATTCTGAAATCATTTTAGCATCATTCCCTGTGATTAGCAGATCATCAACATAAACTAGAAGTACTACAATACGATCCCCTTGTCTCCTAGTAAACATAGAATAATCATGTTTACTTTGGTCATAACCTGATGAGATAAGAGCTTCTGTGAGCTTAGCATTCCATTGTCTCGAGGCTTGTTTTAAGCCATAGAGAGCCATAGAGAGACTTTTGTAGTCTACACACAACATTCTCCCCCTGACTACAAAAACCTTGAGGCAACTCCATGTAAACTTCCTCAAGTAAGTCACCTTGCAAGAAGGCATTGTGAACATCCATTTGCCATAGAGGCCAATCAAAAATTGCAGCAAATGCAAGAACAAAACAAACCGTGGTAAGCTTGGCAACAGGAGAAAAAGTATCTACAAAATCAACTCCTTCCCTTTGATTATAACCCTTAGCAACCAGTCGAGCCTTAAATCTCTCAACTTCACCAGAGGCTCTAAGTTTAACTTTAAAGACCCATTTGCAACCAATACACACTTTTCCTGGAGGCAAAGGAACAAGAGACCGTGTATTATTCAACTCAAGAGCTTGAATTTCCTCCTGCATTTCCTTAACCTATGTAGGATCAGACTTGGCTTCAAGAAAGGTTTTAGGTTCAATAGAATGGGTAACAGAAAAAAGAAAGGACTGTGTATGTCATGGTAGATGAGAATAAGAAATGTGGCTAGATATGGGACACTGACCTGGAAAAGGAAGTGGATTGACAGGTATAAATGTAGTCATTCAACCAAGAAAGAGGTTTAGAAATCCGAGAAGAAGTTCTATTAGATTGAGACCTAGAAACCACAGGAACAGACTCCACAAAAACACCATTTGTTGAAGCATTAAGAAGATTATATACATGAACATCAGAAGTAGAATGAGGATTAAGTTGAGGATCGGGGATATGCTATTGTTGAGACTCAGATGAAAGTTCAGGAGAAACAGTTTGAGATGCTGGTGGAGACAAGTCAGCAAAAGAAAGATTCAAGAAATATGAATCAGAAATATGAGGGTTGGAGGGAAAAAAGAAACAGAATTAGGAGAATCCATTTTGAAGGGAAACACCTCATCATGAAAAACAACATCCCTGTTGACAAAAAAGGTCATGGCTTCAAGATCAAAAAGTATGTATCCTTTTTTAGTAGATGAATAACCAACAAACACAGAGGGAATAGCCTTGGAGGAAAATTTATCAGTGTATTTAGGTTTAGTGGCATAGCACAAGCAACTGAAAACTCATAGGTGAGACAAATTTGAGGTTTTATGATAAAGTTTCTCAAAGGGTGTTTGCCATTGAATAACAGAAGAATGTAATCTATTAATTATGTAACAGGTAGTAAGGACACATTCACCCCAAAATTTAAGAGGAACTTTGGACTGAAATCGTAAAGCACGAGCAATTTCAAGCACATTTCTATGCTTTCTCTTGGCAACCCCATTCTGCTGATGAGTACCAATACAGGAACTTTGGTGTACAAGGACAATGGAAGAAAAGAAATGTGAACAAACAGAATTAAAGAACTCAGAACTATTATCACTCTTAATGATTTAGACTGAAGCAGAAAATTGAGTTTTTCCATAGAAAGAAACTGTTTAAGAGAGTAGAGGGCATCATTCTTATGTTTCAACAGATATAACCAAGTCATCCGGGTATGGTCATCAACAATGGTTAAAAAAACCGATGACCATTATGTGTAGATACTCTATATGGACCCCAAAGATCAATATGAATGAGTTAAAATGGTACAGGAGAACGAGATGTACTGAGGGGAAAAGGAAGCCTAGTATGTTAGTTAGAGTGCAAATAGAACATTTATGAACACAGTGTTGCTGAAGCTTAACTGTACTCAGAAATTCTAGTTTATTCATCTTTGAAAAAGTAGCATGTCCTAGTCTAGCATGCCAAAGACAAGTTTCTGAACTAACAGAAGACGTACAAGAAACATCACTAGTTGAATGCATTACATTGGGTAAAGAATGAACAAACAAACCAGACTTAGAGCAAGATGATTCAAATAAATACAATCCTTTAGACTGCCTACTAATCTCCTTCATCTTTCCAGTGGAGAGATCCTGAATGAGGCAAAAGTCAGGATAAAAAGTGAGAACAATTAAGATCACGGGTTAGCTTAGAAACAGAAAGTTAGTTGTGATGAAATTGAGGAACAAAGAGAACATTTTCCAATTTATATTCAGAGGTAAGAAAATAAGAGCCAAGGTGGGTTACAGGAACTGTTTTACCATCAGGGAGAATAATTAAATGCGTAGGAGAATCACAAAACACATGACAATCCAAGCTCTTAAAATCGGATAAAATATGGTCTGTAGCCCCTGTGTCAATAATCCATTGAAGTGTATTATTAGAAGACAATGAATCAGAAGTTAAGATACCTACAAGGTTGATAGCAGAAT